GTCAATCCACGCGGCGCACAACCAGTTTCTCTCCAAACTGATAAAAAGGATTAATGTACCTCAACTTGGGAAAGGAAGTAATTTGTCCAAATACAATGCAAGAAAGGTGTGTCCAGAGCAACATTACAGCTTCTCAAAGAATAAACTTTTTACACAGGCTTGAGGACATATACAAAGCTAGGTAAGCACTCAATATTGCGGAATCAATCTGGCAAGCATGCCGTGTGATATTGACAGTTGAGTTGGACACTCCCATCTGGGTTTGATTTAAAGTTCTCATGCCTTTTATTCCAGCTTGCTATTGGGCAAGCTAAAAGCAGGATTTATGTTGGTTTAGTGTAAGTACGTTGGTTTTTTGTTGGTGGTGGTTAGTTACAACTGCCAGCTGCAGCTTGACAGACCTACCAAATTGAATAAACGTGTTCCCTTAGTCTTCCAGTCATTTTGAGCTACTAAAACCAATAGGATTAATCTCAAGCAAGTGGGAGGAATGTAGCCTTATTATAGTGTTATCAAGAGACAAGAAGTTGGAACGTATGACTCAACTCTGCTCTGCAAGGAAATGTGAATCCAAGATACACACGCAGGCTGATGTGTTGAATCAGCGAGGGCCGCCCTTGATCATGAAAGGTGCAGTGTAGCTCTTCCATGCCCTTATTCATTTGAAGCCTAGGCAACCATTAATAATGTTTAAATATGCAGTATTTTCCCAAAGAATGTATACTGAACATGAAAACGATGTTCCTAATGTTCAAAAAAAGAGGATAAACATGCCAGATATTTAATTGGTAACATGTTTCCTCCTCTTGCACAGGATTCCAAAGAAGGAATTGAAGATGTATATTGTTACCAAATAGTAAAATAGCTTTTCTGCATTCACTTTCAGCTCAGAAATTCCTTGTCTTGAGCCTTTAATGTTAAGGATACTACATCTGAGCTGCAAAAATCTAGACAACCACTAGACATGGCAGTAAAGAGAGAATGAAAGCACTTACCCATTGCTGCCATCTACTGGTCATTTGGACTTTTGCAGCCCAGATAGGGCCCTAGCTTCATCTCTTATTGGGATGGTCACTGGGTCACCTTAGAGTCTCCAGCAGTGTATTTCATAATTTCTCCCCTTCCATCCCATTATAATTACCATTTTATAACACTTTTTAAAAGACTTGAAGGCCTGTGTGCAAATGTTCCAGGGGATGGGGGGCACTGGCCCTAGGATGTTGGTTTCTCCATCTCTGCCTTAAGCTGTTATACTTCAGTGTAGCCTACTTTTATCCTTCTGAGGATGAGAGAAAACAATGAATTGAATGTCCTTCAGCTGAAGCTGTATAGAAACGTGATACACAGTGACATAATTACTATCTCCACCCATCCATGTTAAAATATCTGAAAGATACATGGATAAGATACCAAGGATCTTATTTTAGAAAGGGTAAAAAAGGCCGAAGAAAGGATTGTATATGGAGTTTTTCTAAAATTCCTCTTGTTTTTCTGAACTTCCCCTTCAAATTCTTCCCAGCTTTCATCCACGGTTGCAACAATGAAAAACATTCAGATCAGTTGCTAGTTCCTATTTATGGTGAAAGCTTTCACCAGTGCTGTTAATAATAGCCCCTATTGCTGTTGGAAAAATACTTGTGCCTTTGCATAACATATCCATTCTAGTAATCTGAGAATAAAACACTTTAAATGTCTGACCAAATATTTATCACAGAAATTCCTGATGCATGCCATGGATTTTCTTTCAAGGCAAAGAAGATACTCTTTTCCAAAAATAGCCGATGAAAAGAAAATCTAGAAGTTAAAGCGTGACTCAGACCGAGTTGTAAGATTCCCTTTCACCAGCATATGTTGTAAATTAAGACTCCAACCTACTGCACACACTTACCACTGAATTCACTAAGAACTAAATAGATATAATGGTTATGACTACCATTAACCTGACAATCCTGTGATTGCATTTAACTAGCATCTACATTTGTGAACCTTGGTAAAGTTTTTTATGTCTTGTTATGCACACTCAGGCTGCTTGCTTAGTTTATGGTTGAGTTTAGTTTGGGAACCTAGAAAATGGATTAATTCAGCAACAAGGTTAAAAGTACTATGCAAACAAAGTCTATGTATCTCATATTTTAGAATTAACAAGGAGGCAGTCTGGAGCTTTTTCTTTAGTCACATAATGGCAAAGAATGAATTTCTATTTCAGTTTTGCTTTCTGAAAACATCTGGTTCCTAAATATGAAGATGATTTTTTTTTTGCATTTGTTAATGGTGACAGAATGTAAGCCATCATGTATTGTATACCACGTAATAGTGAAGATAATATCAAAGGCAGAAAGGCTCACTATTGTGAGATATTTCATGTTAACACAGCAGTTGGAGAAATCTATTTGCAAATCAGAGAAGATACGAAGAACATATGAGGAACACGGATATGAGGCCTGGATTTTTTTCTGAAATTTATTTATTTATTTACTTTATTAAGGCTTATATCCCATGACAATTCAGTAGGGCTCCAAATGGTTTGTGTGCCCCTCTTACAGTAAAAATGTGATGAATGAAAAACCAACATTAAGAATTACAATTCATAACCCAAGTATATCAGGAAGAGCCAAAACAAATGTCAGTAAGAAGGGGAATATTTCTAACCATTCTGCAGTAAGGCTTTTTAAAAAAAAAACTGTGGGGAACTATTTAATTTCAGATAATATGGTGCTCCTCCTGACACCTACTTTGTATTCTTGCAAGGTGGGGCTTATAACATAGCAGTATATTCACATCCCACACTTAACCAGGTCAGTTAGACAACTAGCAGCTATACAGTATTTAACACAACCTTAGTTTTAACCTTAGCTGCTGTATAACAATATCTATATAATATCTATATACGAGCTATTATTTCTTTAGTGGCTTAGTGTTCCAAGAACCCAAGTGTTTTTCATTTTGAAATACACAAATCCAAAAAATGACAAAATTCACTACCAAGATGGAGCGTCCCATGTCGACATAGCCAGTGTGTAGTAGGAAAGAAAGGATGGCAAAAGGCATCCGTGGAATTATTTTTTTAGGGTACTCTATTGCTAGTATTTCTGTGCAGACTCAGCTAGCAAAGGGCACTTTCCGACTTCATTCACATTCTGCTCATGGCAGATGCTTTCTCTTCTTCCAGTTTTTGCATGTGGCAGAGATCTGCATTCTGCGATGGGTAATTAAGAGGTGTGGCAAATTCTTTTAGGATCCATTCTTAAAATTCAGAGTGGCTTTGTACAGAGAGAAGAATGCTGGACAGTCATAAACACGAACTGTTCCATGAAAGCATGTCATGTGCAAGGATGAAGCAGATACAGTATCCTTAAAGAGACTGGCTTGATGAATCATTAAGGTATTGCTGAAGAATCAGTGGAACTTCCTCCAGATACTTTAGACAACCACCTGGAAGAGAGATTTATTTCAGATTAAGAGTACAGCCAATGCAAATAGCCAACCTTTTTTACAGCCTTTAGGCCAGAGAACACTGCGGAGAAAAACACACACCTAAAATTATGCAAACAGCTATATTTACCCAACCTGATTAATCTAGATACCGAGTTAACCTGTTTTCTGGGTTCGCAAAATATGCTAAATCACACATCAGCAAGACAGGCTGAGTTTGCAGGACAGCCGAAACTGCAACGCAACGAACCGAACTAAGATGAGCTTCAACCCAGTTTAGATTCTGGGCAAATGCACCCACTAGGTCTTTATCACGTGCATTGTACACAGGCCACTGTTTGCTGAAAGCAAGAAGTCCAAGAGGGGCTTTTCCCATTTTAGAGACAGGTATGCGGTTTTGCAGATGTGTGCCTGAGACAGGAATGTGTTTGCAGGCCCAGGCAGGCTTTGCAAGCAGCTTCTGGTCTTCCTCTAAGAGAGGCAGAGCAGGGCTCCTTTGTGGGTGTGAAAAATACTGATACAGCAGTGTTTTTCAACCTTGGCAACTTTAAGAGGGGGTGGACTTCAACTCCCAGAATTCCCCAGCCAGGAAAGCAGGCCGGGGGAGCCGAAGAG